GCTCTTCACTGCTTTTACACAACAGAGACGACCGACCCGCTTTTGGACCGAATTGTCACGTGTGATGAAAAGGAGCTCATGTATGATAACCAGGGCACATCGTTGGTTAGAGAACCCCCACCAGGGAGGTCGTATTCAGCCGCCAGGAGAGGGAAGGGGGGTCCTAGTGAGTGCGGCAGCCAGTAAGAGCCTAGTAGTATATCAGTATCTATTTTCCCTCTTTGTTTTATTCAAAAAAACCAGCGGCCAGTTTGAATGGGATGACCTAATAAAACAATAACAATATTAATATAAACAATATCAGTAAAGCAAAAAGAAAGGCATAGAGTTTTAAAACTCACCTCACTAAGGGAGCGCTGCAGTCCGCTTTGGGACTGTGAGCAGTTGTGAAATCACATGACACTCCCCTCTCGAGATGACAACAACCCCCCTGGGTGTGTTACTGTAAGTGCAGATCTGCATCCTCTAGTCGATAACCCCCACAAATAGGGGTTTTCGACTAGAGGGCTACAAATTTTGCCAGTGTTAACAAAATATGCCAGTGTTGGCAATACATCGCCAATTTCGCTTGAAAGGAGGTAAGTCAACTGGCAATATGTTGCCAACACTGGCAAATCAACCATCAAAATAAATTTTCCTTAGCCCAAATACGGCCCCCTCTCCTGGCGGCCCCCCTCTGCTGGCGGCTGGCTCTTCACTGCTTTTACACAACAGAGACGACCGACCCGCTTTTGGACCGAATTGTCACGTGTGATGAAAAGGAGCTCATGTATGATAACCAGGGCACATCGTTGGTTAGAGAATCCCCAACAGGGGGTCGTATTTAGCCGCCAGGAGAGGAAAGGGGGGTCCTAGTGAGTGCGGCAGCCAGTAAGAGCCTAGTAGTATATCAGTATCTATTTTCCTCTTCGTTTTATTCAAAAAAAACCAGCGGCCAGTTTGAATGGGATGACCTAATAAAACAATAACAATATCAATATAAACAATATCAATAAAGCAAAAAAGAAAAAGAAATAGAAGAAAACTCACCTCACTAAGGGAGCGCTGCAGTCCGCTTTGGGACTGTGAGCAGTTGTGAAATCACATGACACTCCCCCCTCGAGATGACAACAACCCCCTCGTGTGGTTACTGTAAGTGCAGATCTGCATCCTCTAGTCGATAACCCCCACAAATAGGGGTTTTCGACTAGAGGGCTACAAATTTTGCCAGTGTTAACAAAATATGCCAGTGTTGGCAATACATCGCCAATTTCGCTTGAAAGGAGGTAAGTCAACTGGCAATATGTTGCCAACACTGGCAATATGTTGTTAACACTGCTAAAATGGCGCCAGTGACAGAAACGAATATCATATTAGCTTGAAAGGAGGTAAGTCATCAGAACGATCTTTCCAGTAAGTCAACTGGTCAACCCTACTGGCAGAGAACAGCGAAACAAAGAGGGGAAGGGGCAAGAAGGGAGGAAAGGGGGATCTGAAAACAAAAAAAAACCATGCGAAAGCGACCGAGTGCGACCCGCTGTTTGAGAATCCCCAACTATAATGTATCCTGGCACATGTGCGCTAGCATCGTTTTGCTTTGGAGGGGGGGGGGAGGGAGGCTCTCCAGCGAGGCTCAACTTTTTTTCACGTGGTGTTCCCAACGATGATGTGCTTGCCCTGCAGTTGCGACCAACGACAGGTCCTACGTTAGGGGAGTCCTCGGCGGGGGTGCCGTATTCGATCGGGGGGGGGGTGCCTTTCCCTCGCTCGACGGCAAAATTTTCAGGAAATCCAGCGCTATTTTTGGGAAATTTCCAGAAAATATGCAGGAAGCTCCACAAAGTTGGTAAGAGGTAAGACAGTATCAGCGAGGGGAATGGCGAGGGGAGGGATGTGGAGCGCTGAAACCTGATGGCTAGACAATCTTACTTCAGCTTCACAAGAGTTCACAAGTTTTACCAGAGTGAGATTTGTAAACCGGAACTAGGGAAGCAATGATAATACAAAATGCCCCCCGTCGACAAACAGCGCCTTTAGTCGCTCTATAGTTTTGTTTGTTGGGGGATTTCAGGAGGATTGGGTTTGGCGCGGTGCTCTTCTTCACTACACCTGCTTTATTGCCTACCAGCTACCTCAGTTGGTGGAGAACCAACTGGCGCCACATTCAACCCATCCCCACTAAAACGCTCCAGATACCGCAGCCTTCAAAATGTACTCCCTCCTTGTCAACACGAGGCACTTGCGTGTTATAGTTGGTCAGAGATGTCCATGACTGCCCTATTTGTGTGGGTTATCGACTAGAGGACTGGAGATCTGCAGTTACAGTAACCACGGAGGGGGGTTGTTGTTGTGAGTCATCTCGAAGGGGGTATCACGAGAGGTCACAGTCCCGAAGCCGACTGCAGCACTTCGCTGGATTGGTAAGTTTTGGCTTTGATTTCTTTTCTTTTTGTTTATTGATATTGTTGTATTGGTTGTCCGGAAAGTTCTCAGCGTTTTGAGTGTTTCACTTTAAACGATCATAACTTTCTTAATGCTACAGTAACCACGACCCCTCCCTCCTTTCCCTCGCTCTCCACCCACCATACCTTCTTGAGTTTTCCAGCTTCCCACCTTTTTCCGGAGTTTTTTTTGTATCAAATTCCTCTAGTTCTTCCCCAAGAACCTGCCGCTGACTAGAGCGGAGAGAGAGGGTGGTCGTATATGCCGAAAGAGATTTGTCGCGTTGGTTTTCCGGTTGTTGGCTTTTTGCGTGATTTTTCCTGTTTCATGTGCACTATAGTGTAGTTCGCTGCGGACGGTTGGGCGTGTCAGGCGGGATGAGCTTGGCGCGGTGCCAAACTCGTTCTCCACCAGTTGTTAAAGCGAGCAAATGTGACTGTATCATATCGTTCGTATTACTCGTTTTCTACACTTTGTCGCATGCGCGCTTCAAAAAAAAGGCAGAGAACGGCTTTGACGGGGTGACACACTTATATTGTTTGACAGCCCAACCGTTCGCGAACTAGAGTGTATATACCTCTGTGCCTGTGCCACGCATTCGATTTTCGTCTAGTACTATTGGGTTCCGCTCTGGCGACCCTTAGATCATTGCACGTCCTGCCTTAGGGAAAAATTCTGGCAAATACGGCCACGGCATTTTTCAAGAAATTCCTCCACTTTTCACCCGAAAAAATGCTGGTAAACGGGATAGCTGAAAAGAAAAAAAGAGAGAAGTCAATGACCGAAATCTTTACGGGAAAATCGGAATGCAACCCCCCCCCTACCTCGCCCGACAAAATACGTTCCTCTGTGCTGGGGATCCCCGTGACCTGGTGTGGATGATGCCTCCCCATCCCCGATGATGATTTATGTGCCCCTCCCCATCCTCGTCCCTGTACTTGCATATGTATAAAAACTCGTACTAAACTAATGAGGTACCTTTGCTCGTGCGCTTGATCGAATGAACCTCGGTGAAACACCTACTGAGCCCAGCGAAATCACTCACGTAGTGGTAAGAGATTGTTGTGAGCTTGCAAGGGTAAGGATGTGGTTCAGGGGTTCTATCTATGGCAGATACGCGTTTCTTAGGAGATTTTCATTGGTGGACGGTAATCTAACATTTGTCTGTGTAGATAAAGGTAAACCCTGCACTTACTTGTTGTGTGGCCTCACCTTCTATGGACAAGCAAGTCCGATCCGCAAGCACGGAGAATTTTTGGACATAGAAATACGCAGCAAGGACGCTGGGCGCTCGTGAGTCATTATAAGGAAATTTCAAGTAATTTATAAATGTGTGAAAAATTTCAAGTAACTCAAAGAAATTTAATACTGCACAAGTAAGTTACTGTGATTGTAATCGCCAAAATGGTGAGCTCGGGGTAGTGGCGATAAATGAAAGAAAATAGAAGAAGAAGAAGTAGAAATCAAAAACTCACCTCACTAACTAGGGAGGTCGTTCAGGACGTGGAGCGCTTTT